TGGCTAAGCTCCTAAGGCGTGGTGATTCTTGGGGTCTTCGTGGTGTCTGGTGACCTGAAAGCTCGTGCCCCAAGTCTTGGCACCTGCATGGCCTGGCTGCCACCCCTTGGCTCTGCCCCCGCCTGGGCTGCTCTGGGCCCCAGCTGCCACCCCTTGGCTCTGCCCCCGCCTGGGCTGCTCTGGGCCCCAGCTGCCACCCCTTGGCTCTGCCCCCGCCTGGGCTGCTCTGGGTCCCAGCTGCCACCCCTTGGCTCTGCCCCCACCTGGGTTGCTCTGGGCCCCAGCAGCCAAGGCCTCAAGGGCACCCAGAGCCAGGGGAAGGAGCACTTCCGGTGTTTTCAGACAGACAAGCGTCTGTGAACAGGCCTTAGGTTCTGGAAGCCCAGGCTCTCCCGGCTGGCATTGGTCAGAAAGTCAGTACCGCTGCCCGCAGTGTGGGTCCCCTAGGCTCTGCGGCGGCCCGACTGTCAGCTTGGGACAGCCTTTTCCAGGTGCTTGGGGAGCAAACAGCTGCCCTCAAACTCATGGGAATTCACTTCCAGGCAGCAAGCGAGCCCAAGGAGTTTGTCCAGGCCCAGGTCCTTTGGTCTGCAAGTTGGAGCCCAGTCAGTGTCAATGAGCCAGTCAGCTGCGTGTCTGAGGGCAGAGCTTTGTCCTCAGTGTGAAGCCACGGGGGCCCTGGGTCCCCTTCATCAGGAGCCACAGAGACCCTAGCCCACCACACTTCGATGCTCAGACCACTGTTCTGAGGCGTGAAGTGGCCCAGAGGCGAGGCCCCTCCTCGAGACGATGCCCGCCACGCAGAGGATGCCTGCCCACCCGCCACGCAGAGGATGCCCGCCACGCAGAGGATGCCTGCCCACCCGCCACGCAGAGGATGCCCGCCACGCAGAGGATGCCTGCCATGCACACAGCTCCTGGTGCAGCTGTGCAAGGAAGTCTGCATGCTGAAATGAAGCGCTCGGGGGCACAGCCCACCTCCCATGCCAGTTCTCTCTTGCACGAGGGCAAGAAAGTGCGGATACCATCCCAGGAAAACGGGAGAGCCACGGAGCCAGGTGGGACCCCAGGCACCACCCCTGCCGCGACTGGGCCACCCTCAGATATGGAGACAAGAGGGCCTTGATAGACCCCACAGTGCCTGTGCCCACGGAGCCTGCCGGTCACCCTCACCCTGAGACACGGTTTCCACCCACCCCCAGCTCTCAAAGCACTTGGGGAGAAGCAGTGGCTGCTGTAACAAGCCTGAGACCCCTGCAGCTGCTCACAGGGGCACCAGGCTGTGACCCGGCTCCAGGGCGAAGCTCTCCCCTTTGAGTTTTCTCCTGCGGAGGGAGGACCTGTCGCGAGTAATTCCCTGTGTTTACAGGTGGGGAGGAAGGGCCACTGATGTGGGCGAGGGGACCGTAATGCCAGGAGGGTGGAGGAGGTTGTGGCTCGGAGGGAGGCCTGGCGGCGCCGCCTCCTTGAAACACCACGTTAGCCGCTGCTTTCGGGGACTGTGGGGGCTTGGGTCTGCCCTGAAGCACTGTGCAGGGGGCTGTCACTGCAGGGTGGACGGCAGGCCTCTGGGGGCCAAGGGAGAGAAACGGGGCATCCACAGAGCATCTCCTTCTGCCGCATAAGACCGTCAGACGCTTCGAGTTTCCAGGTGGCAGATTTGGGGACCTGTGTCCCAGGACACACGGGCATCAGGAGAGGAGCTGCTGCTGCTGCAGCCGCACGCTGCGAGGCTGGAACGTCGCCGACGGGCCTGGAAAGTTCCAGCGCTCCGAGCAGAGCGGGAGGGTAGCACGGGCAGTGGGTCCCCGGCTCCCTTTGGGTCTGGTGCGTTTATCGGCCTGTCTGTGCCTTTTTTTTTTTTTTTTTTTTTTTTTTTAAGAATTAATTTTGGGCTGAAAAGCCTCAAAGAAGGCTTTGTTCCTTTGACACTTGCTCTGGAAGAAAAAAAAAATCCGTGGAAAATCTGACATCTGCAATGTAGAGATAAATCAATAGATGGGAGGAATATAATTATCTTCCACTCCTGAAACAATTTTTCAGATTTTTAAGTGTCTCATATCAGCTTAGAATTTGAATGACATTTTAATTATTTTGTTTTTTTCTTCTTTTCCTGGTTTGAATCTCCATAGAGTTCCACTCTCGGATTCTGCAGGGAGCAGAGCTGGTGCTCATGTGGGGGGAGTGGGGGCGGTGGCTGTGCGCCTGCCCGGTGGAGCTGTGCATTTCCTCAGAAGCGGTGGCTGCCCTGGGCATGGGAAGTGCCTTGAGGAGTGGGGCCTGCTCCACCCGGTCAGCTGAACACCCTCGGCTGTTTTCATGCACGTTTGCAGGACAGGAGCCCAAGCAGGAAACAGTCTCTGGTGTTTTTGTGATCTGAGCAAACCCAGCTTCCAGAAGACCTGACTCGGTTTTTAAGGCAGTTCACTCTTCAGGTCTTTCAACAGTAACACTCCTGGGTGTTTGGTGCCCTCCCTGCCGTTGGGGGTGCAGGGCGTGTGAGGGCGGGGGCGTGCAGCGAGACCCTAGAGGCGGTGATGCCAGACCCAGACGTGCCCCCCTCAGACGCAGCCTTCACAGTGTGCGGGGTGGCGGAGCCTGAGAACCCCTCCGAGGCGCGTCTGTGGACCGTGCAGCCTGCGTGTGGGTGGTGTCCCATCTGGCTCACACGCGGAGCAGGTGCCTGTTGCTTGGTGTTCCTGTAGGGCCAGGCTGGGCTCTTGGTCCCACTCCCCTGCTGTTTCTCATTCGTGTCCCTCTCAGCCACGTGCCGTCCTTCAGGGCGCAGCGCAGCCTCTCCTGGCTCTCCCACTCCCCCGCCAGTCCCGCGGGCCCCATGTTCCAAACTCGTTGGAATTGGACACGCCCCTCCCCTGCCCGGGTCGTCCTGCACAGATAGCAGCAGAGCCTGCTGCCTTCTCGGTCACATGTAGCCAGAGAACCCGGCGGCTCCCGTGCTGCCTGGCCCTGGCTTGGAGCCCGCAGCCACCCCAAAGGCCCTCCCGTGTGTGGTCGGTTTTGTGTCAGCCTGGCTGGGCTGGGGTCCCTGGTCCATCACCAAATGCTGGCCTCCGTGCTGCTGGGAGGTATTAATGGGCTGGGCTGACCTGGGGAGGAGGAATCTACTGGGAGCCTGAGGCTGACCCGACCGGGCAGGAGACCAAGGCTGGAGCTGGGGCTCCCTGGAGAGGAGGAAATTCCACCCCAACGGCAGCTCCGGCCCCTGCCCTGGAGGTCCTGATGGCCCCCACAGGCCTCAGGCTGCACCCCCGACCGTCTGGAGGCTGGTCTCCCACAATGGGACCGTGACTGGCACCGTGGTGGAAGGGACCCTGCATTCCAGGGACTCCTGGGCCTCCCGCTGCGGCCTCCTCAGCCCTGCTGTGCCTCATGCTCCTGCCTGAGGAGTGCACCCTCACCCTCCTCTTCTTCCCTCGTGGCCATGCCCACCCTGCCCCGGGGCTCCCCGCCCAGGCCAGCCCTGTCAGCTCTGTCCAGACACGAGCCAGCCTCCGCTGTGAACAGATTGTGTTCCCTGAATTCCATTTCACATGGAAACCCTGACCCCAGTGTCATGGTACCAGGAACCAGGCCCGACACCCCAGCACGCCCACAGAGGGAGCACTGGCTGATGGGAGGCAGCCGTTACGAAAGTGTCCCCAGAGAGACCCTCACCCTCTTCCCACCATGTGGGCAGCAGCAAGACAGCACCACCTGCAGCCCAATGCAGCTGCCCCGGAGCCCACCATGCTACACCGACCGTAGCCGTCGGCTCTGAACCTGCGGCATGGATTCCTGTCCTTTATGTGCCGCCGCGTCTGCCACGCCTGGTGGCTGTCCTGCCTCTCTGCACCTTGTCGCACCTGTGCCTGCAGCACACGGCCTCTATGGGGTGGAGCGGGACCCGGCACCTCACGGGCACTCAGTGCTTATGTGCCAGGTGGACAGTCGGGTGGACAAGGGGACAGGTGGGCGGACAGTCCGGTGGACAGGGGATGGGTGGGCGGACGGTCCGGTGGACAGGGGACGGGTGGGCGGACGGATGGTCCAGTGGACAGGTGGATGGAGCCCAGGGGATTTGGCCGGGAGCGGTTGTAGCAGCAGAAACCGCCGTCATGGAGGAGGGCTGACTTCCGCGTCTGTGCAGTCTCACCTCGGACGCAGGCAGTGTGTGAGAGACGCTAGATGTGAATCTGTCTCAGCGGTGATTTTAGGGTGGGCGGGAGGAGGGGGCAATTGTTTCTGACTTGTGAAGGAATCATCTGAAGCCATGAGTGCCCCAGGGAAAGCGGATGGGTGTAGGAGCCGACCCCTCCCTGGATGCTTCACTGTGGCCCAAGCACTGCAGAACTCCCACCCCCCACAGCCTCCCTGCACCCCCACAGCCTCCCTGCCCAAGTCCCACCTTCCCCAGTGCGGACAGCTCCCTCTGCAGGCCCCTGGAAGCCTCTCCCGTGCCCCAGGCATCCTCACAGCAGCCAGTTGCAGTGTGTGGGAGACACACGGGGCCTGCGCCTGGGCTCCCTTTGTGCCCCAGGGGGCGTGGCTGAGACCCGTGTGCACTGGGCGCTCCCTCCTGACTTTGGGCTCATCCTGGAGGCTCTGAGAAGCTTCCCTGTGACACTGTCCGTGGGGTCTGTGCAGCGCATGGTGCATTTGTCCTCTTTAAACACACGCAGCTTCTGTAGCGTGATGATGCGTGGAGCTCTGAGAATGAGTGTTGGGGAAGGCGCACCAGGCGCTGACTATAAAAAGGAAGCCGCCGTTGTTCACGCCCGCGGTGTGCACTTAACTCCTGTTCATCAAAGCAGCCCTGAATCTGCCCTTCCCAAGCTCCCCCTTCCCAGGTGTTTCATACGTAAGGTCCCCTCCCTCACGGCACCTGCAGCCCAGATCCGCGGCCTTCGTGGACGGTTCGTCTTCCCGGGAAGCTGCTTCTGTTGGGGCCGCCGCGCCCCCAGCCCCCGTGACGGACTCTCCCTCTGCTGTCTTCCTTGCAGGGCCTGATCAAGATCCGGGGGGACCGGTGCTGGCGAGACCTCACCTGCATGGACTTCCACTACGAGGTGAGCGCGCCGTGCAGAGTGAGGGCAGAGCACCCCGCCTCACGCCGTCCCATTCCCACTCTTGGTGGGCGCAGTCCTGCACACCCTGGTGAGCGGTTGCGTCACAGGGTCACCCCCAGTTGATTCAGGACACCCTCTCCTTTCTCCGGGTGGGGTGGTCACACGGGGGTTTGCAGGCGCCCCTCACTTGCTGGGGCCGCGGGGACGGGGTCCGTGGCCCTCCATGGTCTCAAGTGCAGCGGGTTTGCTCTGGTTCCTGCACCGGCACCCTCTGCTGCTGTCCTCGGTCCTGCCCAGGCCTCCAGGCCAGCCCCTCCTTCCTGGAGTCCACAGCTCCCCACTGTCCCGGCAGGTGCCTCTTGGGGGCTTCCTGGCTGTGTGCCCAGCCCCTGCCATGCAGAGCTGTGGCTCCATCATTACCTGGACACGGGCAGGTGTGTCCCACAGGGCAGGTGTGAACCACAGCATAGTTCCACTGTGCTTGGCCCCCAGGCCCAGGCTGAGTCCCTTCAGACACCCCGGTTCCTGCCAACTGCTCACAAGTTCATGTAGGGGCTGGGAGTGACCTGGGGCCTGGAGCTCACGAGTTCACGTAGGGGCTGCGAGTGGTCTGGGGCCTGGAGCTTGGATAGTCATTTGTTCTCAGTCCATGTGGGAGCCTCCTGATAGCAGCGTCCCCACCCTGGGCCTGTGTGGTCGTGGCCACGGCGCACCTAGAGCATCTCAGGCCTGGACACCCCTTCCTGCATTCGGTCAGCGCTCACACCTGCACTGGAAGCCGTCGTTGTCCGCGTGCCGCCGACAGCCAGTGGCAACTGTCTCATTGCCTTTGCGTTTTCTGCCAGGGTTGCTCTGGCACTCACCGCCTCCACGCATGGAGCTGGTGCCGTTCTCACGTGGCACCCCTGCTGCGGTTCTGTGTCTTGGTCCACGTGCCGGCCTGGGACGGGCGTTTGTGCCTGCATTTACATTTAGTGGCTGTGTCCTGACTTTATTCTTCAGGCTCTTGAGATCTCCCCATACCCCATCAAATGCCCCGCCTTGCTGAGGACCTGTGAGCTCCTCTCGGTCTGAGACCAGGTTCTGCTGACGGTCGGTGAGATGCCAGAAAGCTCTCAGCTTTGTGGCTGGATGGTCCCAACACAGCCGTGACAGGCGGCAGCCGCAGAGCACATGGGCGTGAGAGGCTATCACCAACAAAGCTTGCACACCGCAGCCCACGCCGGCCACCCTGCCCCCGAGAAGGTCCAGTGCCCTCAGCCCAGGTCAGGAGAGCTGAGGGGACCCGTGTGTCCAGACGCCCTCAGGAGAGGTCAGCAGAGCTGAGGGGCCCATGTAAAGTGCCCTCAGGACAGGTCGGGAAAGTGTGGGGAGGTCCCGTGTCTCCAGAAGCCCTCGGGACAGGTCAGGAAAGCTGGGTGGGCCCCTTGTCTCCAGGCCAGAAGCTCCACAGCGCATCTCACGGAGCCCGCTGGCTCAGCACAGGTGGGGACAGCGGTGGTGCACTGGGCTCAGGTCCACGAAGGCTGGGTGCTGGTGAGGACCATCCCATGCAGGTTTCCATTGGCGAGAGACACTGAGGTGCCCACCCGTGTCCCCACAAACACTCCGATGCCTTCTCTACAGAGCGGCTGCATTTTAAAGCTGGTGTCAGGCATCCTGGGCTGTGTCTCTTCAGTGAACGTGGCTGCTCTGGGCCCGGGAGGGTCTCAGGATCCGCAGGACTCGCCCGGCCAGGACCACCAGGGTGTGGTGTTTCTGAGGGGTGGGTCACACCACAGCTGCGCTCCGGCGAGGACGCAGGTCGCAACTCTTGGGGAGGCTGGCTGGGGGGCCCCACAGCTGCCTGTCAGCACTGCCTTCCCCTGTGTCCACCCGGCCAGCTGGGATGCGGTGGGTCCCTTCCCGCCCCCGTGAGCACCCAGTTCTTCCTGTGCCCCAGAGGCCCAGGACTGCCCCTCGCCGGAGCTCTCTGCTGTGTTGTGTGTGAGGAGTGCTCTGTGTCCGCCGCCAACTCCACCAGTTCAGACATAGCCCGAGACAGTGGACAGAGTGGGCCCAGCCTGGAGCACAGAGGCAGGGGCAGCCCGGGCCTGAGGGATGGCCCTGGATGTCTCGAGGCACCCTCGGTGTCACTGCCACCCGGAGGGTCGGCCACAGCGGTGTCTGGGCCACAGACAGGGCCTGCAGGCAGGGCCCAAACCCACTCTCCCTGTAGCTTGCAGCGTGGCTTTATCTGGGACCGCCTTGTGATTAGTTAAGATGAAGTCAGCGTGGACTGTGCTGAGCCCCAAATCCAACGACTGTGTCCTTAGAGGAGGCCCAGACACATGGGGGTCCTGTACCCACGTGGCTGAGCTTCTGGGAGGTTGGATTGTGGCTGGGGCCACTCCCCTCTCCAGACACTGAGGCTGCAGTGCAGGGTGTGCGAGGTCAGGGCCCTTTTCATCCACATCCCAGGACAGGCTGAGCCCTGGCTCACGGAGAGCCTTGAGCCTGATGTCCTGATGGCCACATGGGGTCCAGGGCCAAGCCGGGCAGCTTGAGGCTCTGGCGGCAGCTGCTGTCCCAGCGGGTGGGGCCACCCCCTCCCCGCCCAGCTGCAGAGACTGTCCTCGGGGAATCGCGTTTCAAATCCCACCATCACCCGAAGAGGCATGGGGGAGCCCCACTGAGCTGGGAGAAGGCCCAGGAACCCCTTTTCTTACATCCCGGGGGCCCCTTGGGGCTCTAGGAGCGAGTACCTGGAGTAGCCAGTGTTCAGAGCAGTGCGGCGCCGTGCCTGCAGCGGGTGGACCGCCGTGACAGGGCTCCGGTTCACTGTGTCTCTGGGGCAGGGATGGCCCACGTACCAGCCTCAGGGGCCTGGACTCCACTCGACAGACGGAGCAGTGGCCATGCCCAGTCCAAGGCCAGGTACGGGGGCAGTGTGTGGGGGGAGCGAGGACATCACGTCTGGGGACAGCTACATGGGGGCCCCGGGAGAGGGATGCACAGGTGGGCAGCGGCCATGAGGCAGAGGGGCCCTCAGCTGGGACGGGAGCCGCAGCCCCGTCTCACCTCAGACTTGTCTCTCAGACAAGGACGCTCCCTCCCATATGTGTTGAGGACGAGGCACTGGTGAAGGTTTCAGGAAGTCAGGGTGTCATCTGCGCGCCCAGGGCCCTGCATGAATCCTCTCTCCGAGGAGGACCTGATTCCGGAAGGTGGCAGGCCCCTGCCTGCAGCCCCCGAGCCGCGCCGTCTGCCCCACAGCATCCGGGGTGGGGGCCTCAGGCCCTTTTGCTGTCTTTCCGCTTCTTGCTGGTCAGATAAGGAGTCAGGGGGGTGCCCCTTTCTAGGAGAGTTGCGCCTATGCTGTGGGGGACGCTGAGCCCCTTCAGGAGCCTGGAAACCTCCGGAAGTTTCAGCAGCACAGAGCGAAAGGCAGCCATGCGCCCCGGGGACTCTCCCTCCGGGCTGGAGCTCCGAGTGTGCGGACTTCTCTCCCCCGAAGGAACTGCTCGGCCGTGGCCGTCCGCAGCCTCACGCCCCAGACTCGCCGCTTTTTCCATCTGCTGGTAACGAAAGGCAGTTGCCAGCAAATTCAGTCCGTTAAGCCAGAAGCAGCGGGGGAGGCGTCCCCAAGTTCCAAGAGAAGAGGCCAGTTCCCCGGAGGGTGAAAGGCGACGGGGCAGCTCTGCCTGAAACTCCCGACAAGCCTGTGGCCTTCCATGCGTGGTGTTCCCAGATCTCCATAGACTCCACCAGGATACCCTGCAGCTCACTCAGCTCTGACGCCCTCTACCCAGAGTGAGTGCAGACCCCGCAGGCCAAGGGCTCGGTCCCACGAGACACTGGGGATGCACTGATGGCCGCTTGCTCTCAGCCAGGAGAGGGACCAGAACCATGTCCTCAGCCCTGTCCCCAGGACCCCCAGGATCCCAGGGCCAGCACAGGACAAGGGTTGGTGACCGGGGACGGGCGCCATCCGGAATGCCACGGGCTGTGGGGAGGGTTGCTGCGGTCCCCACGTCACAGTGGTCTCCTGACGACGGATGCAATAGCAGGTTGTGAATGCGGGGGTCACGCAGCTGCTTTGAGCAGCAGGGATGGTACTGGCTGCTGAAATGGAAAATCCAGGCCTGTCCTCTGTCTGCACGTGGGTTTTAGGAAGTCAGCTGTCATCGAGAGGGGTGGGGTGAGGACTCCCACGGATGGTTTTGATGCAGAGAAGACTCACTGGATCTGGAGTACATGGACCCCGAACATTGCAAACAAGTCTCCGTTGCTTTTTAGGGGAGTTGAACGTGACTCTGTTGCTAGAGAGCTGCGGGAAGTCTAGCACCATCATTCAGTCCCACGGTGCTCCTTCCACGCCCCTTCCAGAGCTGCTTCCTAGACGTGGCACAGGGCAGCCCCTGCCAGGGCCTGGGCGGGCAGGGACCCACGGCCACTTCCCTTGCTGCCGGCAGGAGTACCCCACTGAGCTCCACCCCCTGCACCCCAAGGCTTGGCCCGAGGTCAGGCCTGTCGGTGAGTTTGGGCCGACATCGTGGAGAACGACAAGTCTGTCTGTCTGCTGAAGGACGCTCTCAGGGCTACAGACAGGTCCCGTGATGGCACGGAGCCTCCCAGAGTCGGCTCACTACCAGGGACCAGGCCACGCACCACAGACCCTCAGGCAGCTGCCTGGGCAGGGCGGGGGTCCCCTGGATCTGCCTGGGGCCACCTGACACTCCTGGAGCCAGGGTCTCCCAGCCTGCGGCCGGCAGCCTGCGGCTTGGGGGTGCGTCTCTGGCGCCCACACATGCGGGCGGAGTTTTAGACCAGTGGTTAGAGAGATCCGGAAGCACTGCCCCTGCCGCTGGTCACTCTCTGCACCCTGACTCCAGGCCCAGGCCACGGCCATGCCTTCCAGGGTGCCTGCGACAGCCCTGCTCACCCCGAGGTGCTCACGGGGACCAGAGGCCATTCGTGCTAGGAGTGCGCACTCTCTGCGTGGGGCGGGCCGCACAGAG